GTATGCGGCTTTGTCTTCTCTTAACACTTGAGTGCAGTGGTTACGTTGGGCTACGTAGTTGTCCCAAGTTTCTGGTGCTTGAGGTTCGCTGTACACTCGCCGTGCTGCGTTGCGCACTGTCATCCATTTTCGTGTACTGCTCCTAACGTAAGAAAATGATTTATACTTATAGCAAACTTTTATCTCTAAAGCCTCTGCAATCAGCTGACTGAATGTTTTGACGAACTCGGCCAGGCGACTTCCGGGGGTTCTTCTTCGAGGAATGACCAACTTGTGGCGCTGACCAGCTGGGCTAAGCGATCGTAGCTTGTGATGGTTCGCACAGTATCCTCGTTCTCATTCAGATATTCTGCATAGCAGACGAAGTTGCAACTGATCACGGCGTGATCACTGCGATCCAACGGGCAATCTAAAACCAACACATCAATCATATGCTCCTCGTTGGTAAGCACAAGATCTAGCACAGATGACCTGTTACCTGTTCTGAACCGAGTGGGCAAAGTGATGTGATTGTAAAGAGGAAGAGTAGTTACTAGATTTTGTAGATCGGCTTTGAATTGTTCTCCCATCGTGGCGGGAGTTTCTAAACAATGTACGTTGAAATCACCCATGAGAAGAATGTAAGTGTACTTTTGTTGTAAACTGCATCGTAAAGCAGCCGCTAGGGGGTAGTCGGTTTTGGGTGTTGAGTTAAGGGCGCGGTACACTAAGACAATAAGGCAAGCATCCCTGCCCTTTAACTGCAACCGGCACCAAAGAGAGTCAGGGAACTGCGAGTCTGAATCCTCCACGGCTTCGCACTGTAAGTCGTTTCGGTAATACAGGATTACCCCTCCTCCTTTTGTGAGCCTGTCGTTCCGGATCAGTGACATGCCCGATAGCGAAACTTCAGCGTCCGTCATTCCCGTGTGTAACCATGTCTCGGAGATACCAATGATATTATATGACTCAGAAGCTTGGTGATCTTTCAGTTCAGCCAATTTGTTAGAAAGACCCTGAGCATTTGTATACAAGCAGGCCAGTTTCTCGGTCTCTAAGAGCCCAAAGAGGGGTGATGGGGTAATGTGTTGGAGAATGCCGACCGATGGGAGGTCGGCAGTTACTCGTTTTTTGATGGGATAATGATACCTTGTCTGCAACTTGATTCGGCCAAGGTGCGTCCCAATCTTCGTTTAGACCTACGTCAGAGTCACTTAAAACAGCGGTCAATTTACGCTACTGTACATTCGTCGGTATGCTTGTTGCTTCAGTTGCCTTAATATTTGAGCTGTGCAAAGTGTTTGCAGCCTTTAACCAAATTTCAGAAGAAAGATGTTTCCGACTTCTCCGCCATCGATCTAAAACATCCTTTGTTTGTTGCTCTGGCTGAAACACATTTTTAGGATTCTAGGGCCGCATCCTTTAGAATTTGGTGAAAGAGGTATCCTGGTGAGCGATAGTGCCACAACATCATCCAAAGAAAGTGTTTCACGAATGAACCGCCACTGTTCTAAATCGTGCTTTCCGGTATCTTGAACATCGTTAGTAGGATGTTCTGACACGTCATGTATGAAGATTACGTTCAGGCGGTCTTGCTTGCTATGCCCATCTTCGGTGTTTCTTTTTGATTGTCGCGAGCTCCAAGGGACATCAGGATAGATACGTATCCCACAGGATTCGTGTTTTAGCGCGCTTGCGGAGAGCAAAACATTTTCTACGTCGGTGGGGGATTCTAGTGTTACTCGAATAAGTCTGGGTTCTCCATAGTGCGGAGAGTTCGGATGACGAGTAATTCGTAACCGAGGCTCCGCTACGCTACTCTACGCTATTGCACGCCACTCCACCACGCACTGATGATGTCACCTCGATTGGTGACGAAACGTTTGCAACAAAATTGCCAAGCTCAGCGAACAGTTCAACAGCCAATTCGTAACAAGTTTACGGGCTTGGCTTTGATACTCATCTGCATACACAATGAGTTCCATTGATCTTGGTCGTCTGATAACTTATCCCGCAATGTGATGGCGGTAGATTCAGGGACATTTGAGCATACAACAGTCCGGGCACTGTTGTTGGATCCCTTTTTAATCGATCTACAAGGTATGGTACTCATTTGTCTTGACTTGTTGACAAGTGATTGTTTGCTATTTTTCTCTCCATTTGCGTTAACGGTGTTTACAATGGAAGGGGAAGCAACGGCGGCCTCTCGGTGGACCCTTGCAGCAATCTCTGCATATGTAACCGATGTTCTGGGAGGCTTAGTCTCGACAAGAGATATTTGAACTACAGGTACCAAGGGTTGATGTTTGGCTGCTCCATCCTTGTTAATACTAGATGTCAGGTCGAGTGGAATTTGCTTAACCAGACGTTTTGAATGGTGCCTGATTTTCTTTGCTGTGAGTACTGCTTGATTCACGTAGGTGCAGTCTGTTTTCTCCCGGTGTTCTACCAAAGTTGGAGAAGAAAACGGAGATGGAGACATGGCTGATTGCGGTGCAGCCGAGGCGATTTGTTCAGCATTCCGTTGCTCAGAAGCCGCTACGCTTCTGTGGTCCATACTCGCTCCCATTGAAGTAATCTCATTGTTTATCCTCTGCTCTGCTTCTGCGATTAACCGGTCGCGTTTCTGAGCTAGGATAATCAAGCACTTAACGAGGGGGATGGTGGAACACGCAGTACAGAACCAAAATGCATCTTGGGAGCTATTTCGCTCCCGTAACTGTTGTTGGGACACATGTGCACATTTCGTATGATACCATTCCAAACAGTGCGAACAAGCCAGACCGATTTTTACTACTCGACGACATTCTCCTAACCCGTAAATGCCTTTCGCTTACAGCATCCTCGGTTTCGCATTTCTTTTATTCAATTCGGTGTCGTTACCTGACCCAGTGGGATAGAGTTCTGTACTTTTACAGAATTGAGAGCAGCGCACATGGGTCAGGCGAGCGTGGTGGTTGCAAGTTCAGTAATAAGTAAACTACATCATCGCCATTATCACAACCACCATCATCATGATTATCGTCAACAGCACACGCATCACCGTTGTAACCAACTACCAAATCAGCACCAGCAAAAACAATACCATCATCAACATCATCATCATCATCATCAACATCATCATCATCCTCATCATCATCCTCGTCCTCATCATCCTCATCCTCATCATCATCATCCTCATCATAATCATCATCATCATAATCATCATCATCATACTCATCATCATCAACATCAGCATCATCATCATCAACATCATCATCATCATCCTCATCATCCTCATCCTCATCATCATCATCATCATCATCATCATCCTCCACATCATCATCATCATCATCATCATAATCATCCTCATCATACTCATCATCATCATCATCATTATCAGCATCAACACCATCATCATCATCATCATCATCATCATCATCATCATCATCATCATCATCATCATCATCATCATCATCATCATCATCATCATCATCATCATCATCATCATCATCATCATCATCATCATCATCATCATCATCATCATCATCATCATCATCATCATCATCATCATCATCATCATCATCATCATCATCATCATCATCATCATCATCATCATCATCATCATCATCATCATCATCATCATCATCATCATCATCATCATCATCATCATCATCATCATCATCATCATCATCATCATCATCATCATCATCATCATCATCATCATCATCATCATCATCATCATCATCATCATCATCATCATCATCATCATCATCATCATCATCATCATCATCATCATCATCATCATCATCATCATCATCATCATCATCATCATCATCATCATCATCATCATCATCATCATCATCATCATCATCATCATCATCATCATCATCATCATCATCATCATCATCATCATCATCATCATCATCATCATTATCACCACCACCATCATCATCATCATCATCATCATCATCATCATCATCATCATCATCATCATCATCATCATTATTATTATTATTATCATCATTCTACTCGTCATCATCATTATCAAACCCGATCGGATTTACCTCCTGTACTATTTTTTCAAGTTTTTGTAATACGTTTGGCGTCTCTCGCATTTTAGAGCTTGATGATCGGTATACCTCAACGTAAGTTATTTACCTGGCAATCAGTAATGGGGATGAGATTTTCTTAGTGGACCACGCTGCTTGTTTTCTTTCTTTATTTCACAACACTGTGAACTCTCCCTATCTGTTAGGCATGTAACTTTTGATCCCAAATGCCTTAGGGTATGTGAGCCAAACATTTAACTCTTATTCGAGCTACTATGTCGATTGGACTAAAAAATTGTACACGAGAATAGTGGGAAAGGAATCCAACGTACTATTCCGAAGCGTTTGCATGAATGGATGCGATCCATGTAATTGGTGAGTTAGGTTACCGAGGAAAGGTTTAATACACAGAACTAAGGAGCATTCAACAATCCTCACCTTCTTCCTCACTATGTCTGTAGACGCCGATTGGTCTACATCCGAATACTGCTCTGACGATGCAGGACCCGTGTCTGCTGGAGGTGCCATGGCGCTGGTATCCGTCACTGATTCCATTGTCTTCGAATTCGCCTCCTCACAGGCGACTTCATTGAAACACAGCATGGCATCGGACTGCTGATTGGTGTGTTTCTCTTCCACATAGCATTCATTCCTTTTGCTCAAATCGTTGGACACGTCCGAGCGGCGTTTTCGTTGCCTGCCAAAGTTCAATTTTAACCTACCTTTGCCGATTTGTGACTTGAGACTGAGTATTTTCGACGAATGTGTTTCCTGCGTCTCCGAATTGGCAGTTACTTCTATTTCAGCTGTGTACAAATCTTGTTCCTGGCTCAATTCTGATGACGGTAAGTGAACTGGGATGGACTTGGGGAGACGCTGACTGTATATGTTATGCAACTCCAGCAGTTTGATTTTTTCCTTTAATGATGCAAGAGATTGAACAATGAGTGAGCGACTCAACGCAATTCACTTTAATTTGGTATGATGAAATAATAGTGGGTACCGGTAACGTTAGGTTAGTTCCAATGTAATGCTAAATTTGAATGAAAAGTGTATGGCACGCAGAGCTGTGAAAACAATTTTTCCTCTGGTACGGTAAGAGAACCAGTAATAATCGAAAATCGAGTCCTTCGTCGGAACTCAAACACTATAGCCTTACTTCTGTAGAGGAGATAATTTTGCACATTGTAGAGAACAAGGTGAACTTTCGGTGATTCTTCGCGGCAATTAAAAAGTCAGATAGCTTAACCACCAATCCAACCAGACGGCTGTTTCGCACTATTGGGGCTTTTCGGCAGTGTGCATCCGTTTGATCCGTTAGTAGCAGAACTCGTGGTCGCCAGCAGGTTGCGCCAAAAAGTAACTATATGAGGACACCACAGCATTCCTATCTGCTAGTTTGACTGCTCCGGTTATCTAATACTGGTCAGGTAACTGTACAAACCTACGGTCATGGAAACAACGTTCGCTGGTCACGACCTAAAAGGTGTAGAGCTGATTCCTGTTGAGCGACTTCTTGACTTGGAGTATGTCCATGACTTTGTCCTAATCTGTGACAGCTCCCGAACATGTTAAGTAACACTGGGTACATAAGCACTGGTTGACAGTCATTTTGGACTACACGTTGCTCCCTCAAAAGGTTACGTCCTTCACCAAGATTGGCAGGGACCAACCCCTGTGCTGACCACTGGTGGGGATCAGTTAGAAGTCTTTCGGTAATTCAAGTTCCTGGGCAGTTACATTAGCGTCCGTGGGATCAAAATCAGGTCACGAACCGTATAGCGTAATACGGAGGCGCTTTTGCCCATTTGCGTTACCTGTAGCACCGGAGCGACATCACTGACGCCCTGAAGGGTAGAGTATACGATGAAGCCGTCCGTTCAACCCACCTGTACGGTTGTGAAACTAGGCCAATCAAGTCGACAGACGGCAAGAGGCTAGCTGCGTTCCATCATCCCTGCCTTCGTAGCTAGCCTCATGTCTGGTGAGAACACCGTGTGAGCAATAAATGTCTTTGGCATTGGGTATTTAGTGCAGGAAGAGCGAGTGAACAGCTCAGCATCATTATAGCAGGCACCAGGCACTGATGGCTGAGCCATGCGTCACGCCTGCCATCTTACTGACTCCCGCGACATGCACTGTTTGCGCACCGGGGGAGCAGATGGAGGAGAACAGGCCAAGCGACAAGTTGGTGCAGAGGAATGAAAGTTTTCACTTCATGGTTGGCGTCGGTTGGCATGTCCCGATTGACAGTTTGGGACCGAAGAACGATGAACACGTTTGGTTGGATTCACTAGTTAATATAGCATGTCGCTTTTATTGTGAGTCTGTTTGTTCCACCCCACCCATTTAGTTTACATCTCCAACAACAAAAGCATCCCAATGCATGAGATGATAGCTAGCGTTGTCACCTTTTTCGCTTTGTTATTCTATATTGTTTACTCTTTTATTTCTTGTATTGTGGCACATTAGCTGAGTGTCTCTCTTACTCTCGGATAATGTATCTTGATGATGATTCAGCGAGTCACCAGTTCAAGGGTTTAATCATAGTCTATTAAGCACATGTCGCAGATTAAAGTGCCACCAAGACATCCACGTGTATCCGCTAGGTGTACAAATCTTGTAGCGAACTTCTCAGAAAATGATCTGGATGGTTCGTGCATGACAACTCAACTTGCTAATGATTGCTCGGAAACCTACCAGGGAGACTAAATCAGCACCTGGCGTCCTAATGAAGGCGATCGGATGGTCAGTTTTACCATTTTCCCGAAAAACCTTTGCCGAATACTTGCGGCCCAATATCGAATAAGCCAGCCGCTACAGGCGCGACCTCATTGTTTTCGGGACCGCACAACGAAGGGTGACCAGAACTGACGACAGCATTTGTCATCGGCTTTATCAACTTTTGCTTTATGCTCTAGGACTTGACAGTGAGCAATATGGACATATGCTGGTGGTCTTCTAGTAGTGCACCAAATACTCTGCAATCCTAGCAATTCACGCCGTCACCAGTCAAAACTCGGCTGCATTTTAACCTACCCAGCCAGCAGTTAAATTTGTTCATATAACATATGCACCGAAGCGTTCTCTTCTTTCGGGTTTTGCAATCGTGCAACAACCTTCCGAATTTCGTTCTTCGTGCACCTAGCTTAGCCCATTTAAAAAACGGTTTGTTATACGCATCTGGCGCGTGGTCGCACTGAAACGACGGTCTTATACTTTCGAATCTGACACACGCAATTGTTGACGCACAATATTGGGCTTACACTTAGCCAACTCGGGTTTTCCAGCGCTATCCAATCGATCTCACCCTGCAGTATTGTTTAGTCACACACATCCGTTACTACGATTTCAGCAGGATTTCCAAAGAAATCCAGGTGTGCCTCAAACTTATTTTCGAGTGCATCCAGTCATTTGTAGCATCATTTGACAGAGTGCTCTTAACGTTATCCAACGATTCTTTTGCCACCAGAGTCCGACGCCCTGCTTGGTAGCTGCCGCTTGTTTAGCATTCAACACCCTAACACACGCCAACTTAGCGTAAATACTACCGGACGCGTCAAAACGCAACCTTCTACTACGCCTAACCCGGCCCGATCGATAGCACAGAGTCCAGCGCACGTACCTTGCGCTCCGTCGGCTTTGTTGGCTGTGGTCACACCCCTTGTCAACCAACCTCGTGTGCCTGTCCGAATGCGCTCGGCGATGGAAATTTACCGACGGGACTGACACCTCGGTAATGGTTCACAACACAGCGACAAGGAAAATCATTTGTACACGGTCCATTCAGCCGCAAACGAATTTAGTTGCGTTTTGAAATCGTGCTCCAAGACCATTCGAATTGGAATAACTTGTAGTAACTGCGGGAAGAAATTTCATCCCCGGTGCGTAAATATAGGTGCAGCGAAAATACAAGTAAGACATTTCATACCAGACTCCAGCTGGTTTTGTACTGTGTGTTGTCAACCCACGCGTGAGGTGTAGCGCCAAGCTGGCAGAGAAATTTGATAAACTAACTACGATTTTGCAACGTGCAACCACAGATATAGCGGCTGATATTGCAGCCAGCTGCAGTCGCACTCAGTTTCCGTTGCCTAAACGTATGCTCAAACTTGGAAAAGAATAACCAGAAGAGTTATGTTAACAGTGCACATACAGTAACCTCAAACACCATAACAAGTAAACAGGCGGGCAACGAAGGTTTGCCAAACACGGCGACTACGACGTTGCAGAGATCGCCCTTTCCTGGTGGTCTGTTTGTGTTACCTGATACTCCATTGCATTCTGCTTTACCCAAGAATGCCAAAAGTCTGCCAACATATGCAGTTACCGTCGCTGCATGTAGACTCAAGGCAAAGTTAGCGGGCATGTCTGCCGCCACTCCAAAGACCGTTAGAAGCGACACAAGTATCCATGCGCCCCGAAAAGACTGCCCACCACGCCGCCAGTAGAAGAGAGCACGCCCTTATCCAAGAGTATGAACCCTAGGAAGACGTAGAACACGATGAAGATAATATGCTCCAACCTGACTGAGCCAAAGGCAAAGTTAATCAAAGACAAACTACTGGCCGACTACAAACACTGGGAATCCATATGCCAAACAGTGGGAATCCAGGCCAAACAAGCTAGCTAGCGTCGTATCCCCCGCCACGCAAACGCAGTTCCTTATGGTGAGCCAAGGCCACTTCAGGTGAGATTTCGGTCGAATGACGAAGCGCAGACCGCCCACTTGTCAGTTCACCGTCTTCGTGATTTTTCCTGCAGCTTTCCTATATTCCCTGACGTGGTGGATTTTCGCCTGGCAAGCGTTCTGCCTATAAAAAAACCCACAAATGTCCGTTTACCAACACTGTGACGTAGTGGATGTGATTCGCCAGTGAATAAAGTCACTGCCCACAAACTCACACTGGAAAGTTAACCACAGCAACCTTTTACATCATTTCAATATCTTTTTGATATGTACACTAAAAAGACACTTCCCTGTTTCTACCTTAAGTCTCCTCTCTATATGTTACGCATTCACACAGTTTTGATCTCAGACATTCGCCACGTCAATAGAAATTCCCTTCCTGACCTGAGAATCCGTCATTTCGGTAACTACTGAATATTGCACGAACAGCGCAGTTCATGCAAAGCAGCGTGTCTGTTGCGCAACAATCACCTGTAAAGTATTGAGCATGACAGCTCTGGTGTACCTCAAATAATGAGTATTTTTATTTATATATCCTTTGGAGGAAGCGACGGCAAAGGAAGTAACGCCCAGGAAAACAGCACAAGCAAACCGACAGATGATCGATAATTTCCATGAGTTCATTTGTTCGCCGAGCTTCGTAATTGGGATGCAAATGTTGCATCACCAAACGAGGTGACTTCATCAGTGCGCTGCTGGGTCAAATGTAAGCCGATGACTTGTTCGTCGATTTGTAATCGATCAGCAAGCGACTTTTGACCTGACCTCCTCGATCTGTGCCCCTGACCTTTACCGGTCTGCCCAACTCTGATAGACACGTGCGGTCCGTGGGATGGTTTTGCCCCGGCTGTTGCTGAGGTGTTGTTGATGGCTTCTTCTATGGTGTCCCCGAAATCCAGTCATCCGACGAGTCGCAGGTCCAAGCTCATGACTTGAAAGAGTGGCGCTATATTCGCGAAGCCATCTCCGCGATGTGATTGACAACTCAACATCAATGCTGCCCAGATCAGCAAACTACAAACGAAGTGGTCCAAGTGTGCTGAAAGTCCTGCTCTACTCTAAACAAACAGTTAAAAGTGTGCTCGGAAATTGGTACAAGTTCCGCACCAAATTGCCATCAGGAATGCGTTTGAAGGTGAATGAAACCAGGCCACCATTGGTTGAGGGAACACATAATCAGCGAGATGTTGTCGCTAGCCCCGCTGTCCGAATTGCTGAACCAGAGCGT